GACGCAAACCTCATAAACTTAATTCTTTGCAGCATAGATAACGCGTTTCAATACTTGAGGTGATTTTGACTCTCTCCTTTTTGTCAAGTTAAACTATTGTTCTTAAGAGTTAAGCTACACACTTGCACACAGATTCTTGTAAAACGGATGACAACTGCTGATACTCAGTCCATTTAGTTGGTCCCGGTTGTGAGAAATGACTTTTAATGCATCATGTTTGCCAGTCTCCTAAGTTCATAATAATTACCAAAATTCCTTTCCCGACTTCTACAGCTGCATGTGGTGTCTTTCCGGCTTGCTATGAGCCGCACTCCCCTGGGCCATGCCGAGACTTCACTCTTAACTACTACTATGATTCCCAAAACAACACCTGTCAGCCATTTTACTACGGAGGTTGTGGCGGTACCCGCAATCGCTTTTACAGCTGGAAGGCCTGCATGTTCGTTTGCACCAGACGCGACTATTCTTGGATCCTCCAACCTGAGTACTCTGACGAACCAGGGGATGGCCTAACTGGCGAATAAATGTAATGACTGAGTTGCGTATTTGTTGTTTAGTTGCTCTAGATACTTAGTTTATCTTATACCAGCCTAAGAAAATAAAGAGAGATTCGTCAGTTCACACTTTTCACTAACCGGGAGGGAAATATTAACGATGAATGAACGAGGTGGTTGACCTGAGTTAGTTGCAGCACGAAGGAGTAGTGAAGTTCGAAAGGTGTTAGGAATTTAAACAATTAGAAGCTCCACTTAAAGCAATTGTACTTACCATAACAAAAACCGACCTGTTGGCTTACAGTCGACTAATTTGGGGGGAGATTTCTATACACCGCGTTGTTCTGAACTTCGATCTTTACCCCTCTAAGAGCATTCCTTAAGTAGGAGGCAAAAATGCCTCACCGTAGCTTCATCTTGGCATTTTTACAGACTTCCTTTTCCATTCAGAAATTATTTTAGAACAAAAAATGCGATGAAGGCCTACTAAATGCTTGAACGTTGTTTGCAAAAGTTTAAACCCCAATATTATGATTTGGCGACACTTTGAAGGTTGTGGTGACAGGTAGTGGTGTGCTCAGGTTGTCGACAGTGGGACAGCTCAGCCCGGAGAATACACTTTCACATTTGCCTTGATTCAAAGGGACTCCATCTACACCTCATCCCCAAC